TGACCTAATTTTCAATACCGACTTTAAAACAAAACCTGATTCTGAATGTTTTTTTTTCTTTCTGCGGCATGCAGGAAGAACTGCTTTACCTTGAATACAGGTAGTAGATTAGAGGCTTATTCTTTTGTATTGTTGTGCAGAGTTTAACCCAGTGGTGCCAGAAAGTGGAATTTTGGTTGGGGACCGCACCGGGTGGCACCATGCAAGGTGGTTCTCCGAAAAATGCACAATCGGAGCACTGCGCAAACAGAGAAATGCGTTAATACAAATTAATTATACTAATACACTTTAATTTTGTCATATTTCGAGGAAATATGTTTTATTATGTGATAATGTACATGTAGCCACTGTTTGTTAATGTCTACAAATGCTCGATTTAAGAATACAAAAATGCCCCTGCGCACTTTTGTTTTTTGTGCGCAGTTTTTCGTTTGTGTGTATGTGTGTGTGGGGGGGAGGGGGGAATCGTCGGGGAGGTAACATCCCACCCACCCAGTAACGCCAATAGCCTAACCCTAACCTTAACTCAACCTCTCAGTAAACCCGTTAAAAAAGCATTAACCAAAAGCATGGTATTTTTTTCAAGTCCAACTTGAACCTCGAAGCTAAAGCTCTTTTGAACTCGTTAATTTGTTGATGACAAGCTCCCATACCTCGTATATCCCCAACATCAACCCGGTACTCTATAACGGAAATGTAGCTATGCATGTGTAGTAACTGTAGCGTTGTACAGGAAGTTCGGAGTACCCGTCCGGAAGCTTATAGTACCTCTCCAAACCTCTCCCCCTCCCTTCCCCCCCCATATCACGGAGAAAAATGTCTGAATAAAAACACTGAAACGCAGACTTATCCAAGTACGGTTATTTGGCGATTGCGAAACATCTACTGTTTACACATGCCCACCAATCGACGCGTACGCCACCGTGCCGGACAGCCGGCCGACCGGTCACGTGTGATGAATGAGCCGGACCGGTGTTGACACAGGGGCCGATACGGGCCCAACTGTAAATAACGGTTCGGCTCGTCTTGGCTCGTTCTTCTTATCAACTTTTGCACACGGCACTCCAGCAATCAAAGGTGAAAGTTCGCGTTGCTAGGCAGCGGACCAACGCGCTAACAAGCGGCCGGTGGGGTTTAATTTTATAATCAATCTTTTGATGAACTCAAAGGTCGGTCGACGGTCTTTAAAGTTTAGTTTCTGGTATTCGAAACTGTTGGTTTTTTTTTTACTGAGGTATGAGTTCTAGCAGCACCCGATAATGCTATGATAACAGTTATATTATTAGTTATGTAAGTAAAGTACTTTTTCCAGAGTTTCTTCCAGGTATCTCTTCGGGGGGCTCAGCCCCCCCCCCCCCACGTAGGAAGTCTAACATCCCCCCGAACGAGATGGAATTTATATAGTAAACATATACTTTTACTAGTGTCCGCCCCCCCCCCCCCAGAAAAATGTAGTAGACCCCCCCCCCAAAATATCAAGTACCCTCGTGAGTCAGATACCCATTAGAGCTGGGTGGACTCAGCAACGTTTAACTGACGCGAACCTGGAACTAGAATTCAAGACTTTCGGGTTAGCAATCGTATGTTCTACCATCCGACCACGTCGTTCCTTAGTTGACTGTTAGCTAAGTACAAATATTACTTGTTATTGTCAACCCTATCCAAATCCAAATCCCTAGCCCAAGCACTACACTATAGCCCAAAGGGGGGTCATCCATAACCGGGTTCTACCTCTCACTCACTGCTTATCGACAGAAAAAGACAGACCTCCCTTCCCCGATAAAATGGCTTAACAGCAATCTGATTCCTTTTATACGTCGGTCGATTGGTCCGATCATAGGAGATCATGGACATATTACAGGACATAACAAGATGACACAGCACCCCCCCCCCCCCCCCCACACCCAACCAGTGGTTCTTTCAGGCATCTACCGCCCCCCCCCCCGAACAAAATGGAATTTATATAGAAGATATATACTTTTAACAGTGTCCGCCCCCCCCCCCCGAAAATTTTAGTCCGAAAATGTCAAGTGCCCCCCCCCCCCCAAGGAGACAAAAGTCTGGAAGAAACACTACACCCAACCCATATAACATTTCCTTAAATTACCAAACTGGTACTAAAACAGATAGAGTTAGTTACCTCCAGAGTTGCTTCCAGGCATCTCTTCGGGGGGGCTTTGCCCCCCCGAAAATTTTTTACCGCCCCCCCCGAACGAAATGAAATTTATATAATTTATATAGAAAATATATACTTTTAACAGTGTCCGCCCCCCCCCCCCCCCCCGAAGAAAGTTTACCGCCCCCCCGAAGATTTCAAGTGCCCCCCCCCCCCCCCCGGAGAAAAAAGTCTGGAAGAAACACTGGTTACCTCACAAGTTAAAGACAGTTACACATACTATGGACGTTTCGACCCAAGGTCTTCGTCAGCACACAGCAGTGTGGTTACAGACTAGACAAAAAAAAAAAACAGTACCGCAATTTCGGACAGTGAAAACACGACTCATACTTAGATTAGACACACGGGCAACGGATGGTTTAAACCAGGGGTCTCCAAACTTTTCAGTCCGAGGGCCGCATTAACTATCAAATTTTAGTTCGGGGGCCAGGTTCTTTCAGGCATGTCTTTGATTTTTCTGGGCAAAATTCCTCAGTCATCACCAACAAACGTTTTTTTCTGTGGACAAAAAGATCTCCGCGGGTCGGATGAGAGGACATCGCGGGCCGCATCTGGTCCGCTGGCCGTAGTTTGGAGACCCCTGGTTTAAACGAGCTGGTACCTTTCACCTAACTTCCATCACCCTTACACCACGCCCCCAGCCCCACCATTATACGATGTTCAAGCGTCCTTTTTCACGCGTCTTTTCTTTTGGATACCGTGGCATTTAAACTTCACGTAATAGCAGTTGTGTAGCTAGGAAAGGACGGGTGGGGCAGCCGCTTTGGGCGTCGGCCCAAAAAAAAAGGGGGGGGGGGGGTGGGGGGGGAACGACGACGACAAACTGGGTAGAAAAAAAAATCTCATTTCTGAGTTTAGTATCTGCATCATTTTTGTCCGTTCGTACCCAAGACATACGTGGCAGATGAAGCAGAGTGTTCATATTTTTCAAGGGCAAGGGGATAATGTTGTCAGCAATATGCCCTAACGGATTAGCCATCAGAGGCTGGGTGGACTCACGGACATTTTACTGACCTGAACCTGGATTCGAACTCGAGGCTTTCGGGTTAGCAGTTGGCTCTCTACCGATAGGTCACACCTTTCACTAGGAGCGATGCTACCACAGCCAGAGGAGTCGCGACCCTTCCCGGCGCCCGTGGACAAACTTTCAATTAGCACCTCTTCCCCCCTCCCTCAAACTTTCGATTTGCACCCCCCCCCCCCCCGCTCAAACTATTTATAACGCAAAAATGCAGCTAAAATGACATTTTAATTTGTTTTACAACCCATTTTGGCGCCCCCTAAGGTCGGCGCCGGGGACATATGTACCCCCCTCCCCCCCCCCCCATCGCTACGTCTTTGACCACAGCCAAAATACAAAGTTGGTGGAGAGAGGTGGGGGAGGGAGGGGGGGGGCTTATAGTGCATGACTGTTTACCAACAAAGCCAATTTTCTATACCATTTCAATGTCTGAAAAACTTCCCTTGGTATAAATTGATTGATGAAACAACATTAAAACTATACACCCCCAATCAGTATTACCTGGCGTAGTAATAAATATCTGAAGATATTTGGTCATTTGTAATTTTCGAAGAAACGTAACAATGAAAATGATACATGAAGTTTTCATTTATGCGGTTATCTTTTCTTAAACTTAACCATATCAGACTTTTTCTTTTTGTGGTTACAGTGAAAAAAATCATTATAATTATAATATTAATTTCGACCATTATGTTTTTATAATGGAGGACACAGTTTTATTGAATTTATTGTTTTACTTCTATTATGCTATACAGAATGTCCCTTAGTCCACCTAGCTCTGAAGGGTACCAGGCCCAGGATCGCAGAGCAATTGCCAAAAAATGAAAGTTGATTTTTATGGTCTAAGGGAGGTAACAATGAAAATTGCTAGTTTCAAATGTTTACACATTTATCTCTTCTTTAACTTCTCATTAAAGCGCGTCTTTTTTTGTGGTCAAAGGGAAGTAACAATGAAAAATATTAGTACCAATTTACTCTACACAATTATCTTTCCTTTTTTTCTTAAATGTGCTGAATGTATATGTTCTAAACAGAATAGATGATATTTTTGAAATATATATCGACGCGCCACTATTTAAATAAATATAGAACAGCAAATACACACACAGACTCACTCACTGACAATGAGAAAAAATTGAGCGTGTTGGATTATTGTAATCTTCCATTAATTTTATTTCTTTCAGATCTACGCCCTAATTACTTCCGAATGGCGGGACGATGAATTGTGTCTACAATAATGTATTCAGATGTAAATAGTGAACTTTATGAGCTTGATTTTCCCTATAAACTACAGGCTATTCCCTTTACAAAGATATAAATTATATAAAATATCAATAAGTTATTCTTAAACAATAATACCTCAAACATATAAATAATGTTAAAATATCATTAAGTAGCCTACATCTTATTAAAATGGATTTACGTAATATGGTTTAGTCCTAAATACCACTAAAATATTCTAATTAAAGTTCTTGGTATTTCTTGAGACAAGAATTTTTGTTCTAGCCCTACTAAGCGCAAATTGATTCATTCTTAACGAATTCACTACAATATAATTTGTCAGTTCACCAGTAGCAAGCAAAAAAAAACCGCCGAATAATCAGAATGAAGCAAAGTTTTATTTTCCTCTTTTTAATGCATTTTTAAAAGCTTGTCATTTATCAATTTTTTACAAGCATAATCTAAAATGGAAAATCTTTTCGGGTCTAGAATCTAGATTATATTTATAATATCTTACGGCGAAGGCCTTCTTAAAATATAAAAGTAAAGGCTTATAACTCTAATAATTTTGTGTAATGTACGACAGAGTTATCGTTATTATAAAAAAAAATGGCTGCTCTCAGACAATGTTTGTTTCGGATAGCAGTACAAAACAGTATTTCTAAGCATAAAATTATACCACAAACCTGTTCTTTAATTAAGCAGTTTTCTAGTCTTAGGTACGAAATTATAATTTAAGGGAATTATTACTCTGCATTTTTTATAACGTCATTGAAACGAAAAAATATTTGTAATGTTTGTTGATGTTGACCTTTCCTTTCTAACCATTTTTTGCCATGATTCCACTTCCAGCCTAGGCCCTAGTCCTACGACTTTCATTCGGTTCCCGTTTCCATCGACATTGAAGTTTGATTCACACCATCTATACTGTTTTTCTTGTATGCCTAATACTTTACTTAGTATTTTTTACTTAGTCCTGTAAAAAATAACGAAGTGAATACTCAGAAAAAGATTTTTCGCCCCATCGTCTCCACTTGTTCGGCAAAAGATAGTTCTGTGCATGCACTGTGACCTTAATAGCTGAGCTAGGGTTAGGTTTAGGGCTAGGATTCTGCGGTTGTAAACACATGCATGCACAGCACCATTCGAAAACATCGCCATGAAGGCGAGTCATAGTTTCTCTCCATTGCGCATGCGTATCTTTTTCCGGCTAGAATCAGCCAAAATATAATTTAATTAGGGCCTAAAAAAACTTTACTGTAGTGACTGAGTCTCTAATTACTCTAATTTTATGACGTCTTAGCCTTGGGTCTTAATTAAATTATTATTAAAAGTAGGCCTACCCAATAAATTTTTAAAAAGCCTGGTATCAGTAGTAGTGATAGTAATAATAATAGGTCTACCCCTTATTTACACTTGCAATGACTGACGACTTACGAAATGTAGGCCTATACTACTAAATTATCTAATTTTAATAGGGGGCCTACTAAATATAGTAACCAAGCCTATAATCCTATACTATTAGTAAAGTGTTTTATTTAAAAAGTTTTAAGCAAGTATTACCATTTTTAGGACCTATCATCATATTTTTTAATTTTTCCCAGACAAAATACCCACACCCTCTATCTTCTAAAATATTGGTAACCTAAATGTAAACCATTGAACAACAAACTTTTAACTTGTATTTGGTCTAAATAGAAAGTTATGGAGAGAAGTGTGGTGAAAAGTTTTTTTTTTAATTTGTTCATCCATCTGGATGGTGTGGAACTGATTAAATAGAAAATAGAAGTGATCTCACATCATAAAAAACAAGCTATTTCCATGAAAGAAGCTAGTATTATGTATCTTATATAAATAAGTAGTACATTGGAATTTTAATCATGATTTTTTATTTCATGTTAGCCAACATATTTACTCATATCATATCATGTATTTTTATTTATAGACTGTCTCCTGCCACTCCATCTGTACTAGCCAATCATAAACTCCAAGCACTATGTCCAGTTCATTCATCAACGAGCATTCACACATCTCCACCTGCTCAAGATTTGATGGAGTTCTTTGACCGCAAAGATGTCTGGGGGGAGACAAGTGTATTATCAGGTTAGTCCAATGTGTGATGTTTGGGGGGAGGGGCTAGTGTATTATCAGGTTAGTCCAATGTGTGATGTTTGGGGGGAGGGGCTAGTGTATTATCAGGTTAGTCCAATGTGTGATGTTTGGGGGGAGACAAGTGTACTATCAGGTTAGTCCAGTGTGTAATGTTTGGGGGGTGATAAATGTATTATCAGGTTAGCCAAATGTGTGATGTTTGGGGGGAGGGGCAGTGTATTATCAGATTAGTCCAATGTCTGATGTTTGAGGCGGTGACAAGTCAATTATCAGGTTAGTTACATGGCAGAAAAAAAAAAACAATAAGTTCTGCGTCCAGACAGTAAAGGGTTAAAGACTTGTTTTATCCTCTCAGGCCGACCGTACAGATTGGATGAGTTACGTTTAAAGAGCAATCAGGACATTCACAAGCTCTGGTAAGTTGTTGTTGTACACTACACAGCTCACAGAATGGTAGTCTGTTGTTAAATACATGCCCACTGTTTTCTTCAATGAAAAATTCAGTAGGATGATCGGAGATTGTGTTTTACAAAATTAGAATGAAATAAGTGATGAGCTAGGGATGGTGTGGTCTATGATAGAGAGCTCAACAAGATACATATAACATCTACCTCATCTGCCTTATGGAATGTTAGGTCTGTAAGGGGAATGTTTAATTTATGAATTGTCCTGCTACTCTTACAAACATTTGTATAGAACAATTTAACACTTTATCTTAAGCCCCGTGGTTGTAAAATTCTTAGGTACTACGTATAAGTGTAAATAATACAAGATGAAAGTCTGGCTTCAAATAATGCTAAAATAAAATTCAGATAATAGGCCTGAGAAGAGGAAGAGATTCTATTTGGTTGTTTTAAATTTGCGTTTTGTTTAAAGTCAAACAAAATGAGCCAGAAGAGATAAGTTATTTATAAATCAATAAATCAATATTACTCATTTTTCGTTTTTACTCATTGCTTCAGTTTAATCTTTGTTATTGAAGTTATTTGTTTCTCTGCGTTGAATCTATTGGCTTCAGTTTAATCTTTGTTATTGAAGTTATTTGTTTCTATTTCTATGCATTGAATCTATATTGGCTTTAGTTTAATCTTTGTTATTGAAGTTATTTGTTTCTATTTCTATGCATTGAATCTATATTGGCTTTAGTTTAATCTTTGTTATTGAAGTTATTTGTTTCTCTGCATTGAATCTATTGGCTTTAGTTTAATCTTTTGCCATTGAAGTAATTTATTGAATCTATTGGCTATTGGTCTCGTCCACTGGCTGCAGGTATGTGCTGTTGAAAGAGAGGAACATGCTGCTGACCATGCAAGAGGAGTACCACAGAAATGTGGAGCTGTTTCCTAATCCAGAGAGAATCACAAAGGTATTGTTGTTGTTGGTGGTGGTGGTGGTGGTGGTGGTGATGTGTGTAGTGGTTATGTAATAGGCTGGTCAACTAACTTACAAAAATATATTTTCATGCCGCTGTTCATTCAGGCACAAACAGTCTTTGGGCAATTGCCATTTGGGGAAAAATGCCTTTGGGCAAATGTCTTTTGGGCAATTGTGGAAGACCCATGAGAATTATTATTGATATAATCATCCTCCTCACAACCACCACTTGCTACATGTAATTGTGTTTGTGACGATTCTGGATGCAATGTTTATTTTTACCCTTATTTGATAATACTTGCCCTAGTTTTATTATACATGCCCTTGTTTTATAATACTTGCCCTTGTCTTATAATACTTGCCCTTGTCTTATAACACTTGCCCTAGTTTTATAATACTTGCCCTTGTTTTATAATACTTGCCCTTGTCTTATAATACTTGCCCTTGTCTTATAATACTTGCCCTTGTCTTATAATACTTGCCCTTGTCTTATATCACTTGCCCTTGTCTTAAAACACTTACCCTTGTCTTATAATACTTGCCCTTGTCTTATAATACTTGCCCTTGTCTTAAAACCCTTGCCTCAACTTTCAGGTTGAAGAGAGTATGGAGAACATCCTGGAAGTGGTCAAAGAAAGAGACAATGCCGTCTCACTTCTAGAGACAGGCAAGCCAGCAGGGCCTGGCGGCGCCTACGTCAGAGACTTCTTGGGTCGGGTGGTGTGGCGCAACTTCAAGGAGTACGGCATCCCCCCACATATGAACAAGGTCTACAGGCTCCTGTACCCAAGGGGGTTCAATAGGGTTCACCTGAGGTTTTTGCCGCTGTGGCGCGAGAAGGTAGCCAAGCAACACTGGTACAGGTACAACCAGCGCATGAGGATGTACAAGAAGCTGGAGGAAAAGTTCCCACATTTGAAGGGGAAGTTGCAGGCGCAGAAACCAGAGGAGCCCAAAATTAATTGAAGTTAAGAGCACAAAAATGTTTCATCTATTGTACAATAAAAAGTTTGAATATGACACTTGTTTTGAATGTTTTTTCTGTTATATGTGAAAATGACCTGTGTTTTGCCTTGTTTTATAAGTGGCAATCTTCTGTTACTTATTATGTTAAATTTTACAATGTGAGACTTATGGGGTTTCATCTGTGTGGATTGATTGTGTAGAATTAGTTGAATTTTTCATCAAAATAATATGTACTTGGTAGTTTAGACATGTAGTCAATGCCAAGTTTAGTTTGTTGATAGTTTTATATGGAAGTGTTTTTATGGTGGTGGGGAATAAAATTTAAAATCTAAACACTCCGAACATTAAACAAAGCTAACATGTTCACTGATACATACACCATGGGACACACCAAACTTTGATGTGTGTATTTTGCTGTAATTATGGTTATACTCAAAACACATTATACATAGGATAATAAAATATGTTAAATAACAGATGAATTATCAAATAAAATACATAAATTAATGATGGTCAGTGGCTTAACCAAAACTATTAGGACTGATGGCACAAATGAAAATATTTTCTTTAAAAAAAATTTCTTATGACAAAAAAATCTTCCTCATGTAAAATGGCTTTCTAGTAATAGCATTTGTTCTTTAATATTATGGTAATTGATTAGGATTAGGTAATTAAATTTTAAATAAATGAGTTTAAGTATGAAAACATGTATGCATATAAAAACATACACATATTTCGCACATAATAGGGTATTTTAGCTAGTTCTGTTAGGATAATGAAATACAGTTAAATAACTCTTGCGCTATATCTACCCAATTAAGAAGCTAATAACTAAAAAACTATGTCGCTCAAGTCAAATTAATGCACACTGGCACATAAAAGATGGCTTTTACTATTTAAAATATTTGAAAAAAAATGTGCACTTTGGTAGTGGAAAGCATGAAGCCACTGTCACGGGGATTGCCACTGCAGTTGTGGAGCTGGGCCTTGTGTCGAAGCAGCTGTCACCTGTCTGTATACGCTTCACTTCACCTATTTTCAGTGTTTTTATCTTGTTTAAAGTTTTTTTTTAATATATAATAATATTTTTATGAGTTATGAAAATAAATTATTCAATAGAGCCCTGAGCTAATCAAGGCGTTCGTATCTCTAGAAGCATGTTTTACTCTGATTTCATGATTTAAATATAAAATAATCATAAGTAAAAAAAAATGTTTTCAAAGTCAAAATAGTTTATTAAAAAATAAAAGACCTACATGTTAGGGAAAAAATAAATGTGTCACTAATCAAAACATTTACATTATTATTTTTTTATTTATAGAAAAATTAATCAGTATAGTATATCAGAGCATCAATTTCAAAGAATTGTGTAAATAAATTTAAATTATTCATTTTCTCTGTTACCTCCCTTTAAACATAAAAGTTCCGTCTTTTGAATTATAATAAACACATGCTGGCTAAAGGAAGGATAAGTGTGTGAATAAACTTGATACTAATAATTTTCATTGTTACTTCCCTTTGACTTAAAATATTTTGTAATTGCAACCAAAAGATCCACTGAAAAAATTAAAGTTTGTAAACCGTTTTGTTCTAATTTTTTTACTTCCCATTGACCTTAAACGAACTTTAAATTAAAAAAAAATTAATAATAATAATTATTTATAGTAAATTCATCCATTTGATGTTCCGATCTCGTTTTATTTCTTCCAGTTAGTGATTGATCAGAGTTTCTTATAGGCATCTCTTCGGGGGAGAGGGGGGTGGGTCTGCACCCACCCCCCCCCCCCCCCCCGAAAAAGGCTACCGCCCTACCCCCAAACGAAATGAAATTTATATAGAAGATATATACTTTTAACATAACATTGTCCGCCCCCCCCCCCCCCCCCGTAAAAGTCTACCGCCCCCCCTCCCCCGAAAATTTCAAGTGCACCCCCAACCCCCCCCCCCCCCCCCTCCCCCCCCCCCCCGGAGAATTATTTAATGACCTCTCTAACTGACTCATTGAAACATTTCTCGTTCATCTATTATATTCTTATTTTATCTCATCTTGTATTATAACTATGGAATATTATTTCTTTATTCCACATTTTTAGTGCTATGTTACTGCTATGTCGTTACTTTGCTATTGCTTTTTTAAATGCTGTTATTAAATTGTTGTTTTTATTTGTTTATTTTAAAACGGCCAATGTGAAAAAAAGGCCTCCGTGCCTACAATTGTTACCGTAATTGAATAAATTGAATAAATTGAGAAAAAAGTCTGGAAGAAACACTGTGATTGATGCAAAATTTCGTATTTTTCATATTGTTGTTTATGAAACCTAGCCTTGCCCCCGGCTTTATTACTGGTCATTTTGTCAGGATCTTTTTTACGAAAATGTTTTTTTGAAATATTTTATCAAGAGCTGTAACATGACATCTTTTTACTTTCTCGTATATACGTAGTATAGAGAAAGTATTGTAATCGTGCAAAAAAAAAAATCGAGATTTTTACAGTTCTCGACGTTTTACACCTCACTGATACGGAAAAACATAATTTTGCAATCTTGTCCGTATGTCTGTGTGTGTGTGTGTCTGTGTGTGTGTCTGTCCGTGTGTAAACACGATAACTTGAGTACCGTTACAGCTAGGTTGATGAAATTTCATATATAAGTATTATATCAAAATCGTAGATCCGTATCAACTTTTGAGCGATTTCCGACAACCGGAAGTGGTACTTTTCCTACTTTGAATTTTTCAAAAGCCTATAACTTGAGTACTATTTCAGATAGATAAATGAAATTTCACATGTAAGTAAAAGATCTAATTCTCTACCTTCTGTTAAATTTTGAGTAATTTCCGTTGACTGGAAGTAGTAATTTACGCTACTTCCGATTTCTCAAAAAACTAATGTAAATTTTTAAAGTACTAATAATATTGCGCACTATTATACGCGTTTTTATTCGGCGTTTGCTTGGTGCGCAATGTTTTTTTTATGAGATTCTATTCTATTTTTAAAAGTTTAAGTATTTAAAATGGATTAAAAATCATAGCTATATCCCCAGTTACCATCCCCTGTTGTTTTATATAAGAATATTCGAGAAAGTTTAGGGGAGATCACTACCGGTTTATTAACATTGAGCTGGACAACATTAAGCACAGCACTTGTCGGTAGAGAATACTATTCTGGGCAGTTTTTGATTCGGTACTTTCTACATTCTCCACAGTTCAAACCTTGATTTAAAATCCACACACAAGTAGACTGGCTTTATCCGGCCAGAAAAAAAAAATCGGTTTTTACAAATATTTAAATGCGTTATCAATAGAATCTTCCCGAATAACCGTAGTCTCATTTTGTATTTATCTCATATAGATGATAACGATATTTAAACCGTTAGATTTTTAGTACCCTGTAAATTGCAAACGTTATGTTTAAGTATATGGAAATATTAAGTTTGGAGTTGATATGGCCTATGAATAATTCTTTCTGTAGAAATACATACATGTCACTATGTTCGTGCAGTTATTTGTGAATGCTCATTAACTAATAACCAAACATTTAATTAAATGTTACGTGAATCTCGCCATAGCGAATATGAAACCATTGGTTGGGGTTACAGCTTAGGTCAATGCAAGTTTGTGTTTTTGTAAATTATAACTTCCAATTTTGCTGACAAAAACATACAATTCTCCATACATCAATAAGGCGAATTTATAATTTTCCTGCGTGTTTGTTTAATGGACTCGGGCAGACGATAGATCAGCCAGCCAAGCCCATTCTACCTGGCAATATGAAGAGCTGTCCAAGTATGTCGGGCTGACTTTTACCTGGGCAGATAACAGGCCAGGTAACAAGTGCGGCAAGTATGAATCATCGCAAACATTGAGCAAACAGTTTGGGCAGTTGGCGGGACGTTTGATCTTCCCGCCTAGATGGAGGGTCTCAAACTGTGCTCAATGGGGCTTGGTCTTCAGCTCTTGGCGGTAGCAGTCGATTACTATACACACATACACACACTTAAACAACACACCTGTGCATTATGACAGCACACTGTGAACACACATATACATGCAAACTTCTTCCAGACCCACATATATTCGGACAACACACACACAAACATGCGAACAACATACACACAAACAATCGAACAGCACACACACAAACATTCAAACACAATACATCATTGTGATCGCAAGATGACAGAGATGTGAAAACCCCACAAATTCGGTAGTAGTCTATACAAGAGTTCTCTTAGTGTTTTCACTGTTGCTGCTTTCAACTATTTGTGTTGGTAATAAATTAGTTTATAAGAAAACCGGAACTAAAGCGTCTTTTCCAAAAAATAAACAATACACCCACACAAACTGAAACAGAATACAAAGTCTACACTTGCGAGTAATTTTTACTTTCTCGTATATACGTAGTATAGAGAAAGTATTGTAATCGTGCAAAAAAAAAATCGAGATTTTTACAAATCTCGACGTTTTACACCTCACTGATACGGAAAAACATAATTTTGCAATCTTGTCCGTATGTCTGTGTGTGTGTGTGTGTCTGTGTGTCTGTGTGTCCGTGTGTAAACACGATAACTTGAGTACCGTTACAGCTAGGCTGGTGAAATTTCATATATAAGTATTTTATCGAAATCGTAGATCCGTATCAACTTTTGAGCGAATTCCGATAACCGGAAGTGGTACTTTTTCTACTTTGAATTTTTCAAAAGCCTATAACTTGAGTACTATTTCAGATAGATAAATGAAATTTGATATGTAAGTAAAAGAGCTAATTCTCTACCTTCTGTCAAATTTTGAGTAATTTTCGTTGACCGGAAGTACTTATTTACGCTATTTCCGATTTCTCAAAAAACGCATGTAAATTTATAAAGTACTAATAATATTGCGCACTATTATGCGCTTTTTTATTTAGCGTTCACTTGGTGTGCATTTCTTTTTTCTACGAGATTATATTCTATTTTAAGAAATGTGAGTATTTAAAATGGATTAAAAATCATGTCTAGAAGTCTATATCCCGAGTTGCCATCCCCTGTAGTGTTATATTAGAATATTCGAGAAAGTTT